ATATATATATATATATATATATATATCGTTTTTTCCCAAATGGATTTTTATTTATGAAGATTAACTCATATGTATAGGATCAGATTTGGGCACCTGAGATGCAATTTTTCTCTCTATCATGAAGAAAGGATTGAAAATTCTAATTCAACATTTCGTATCACTTCTATTGGCCTTCTGATTCTACATAACTCGCCTTTTTTTCTTCAAAGTTTCTCGAGTTCGAATAGAAATCGAAATATGATCATCCAATGTATATGCATAGTGTGTATACAAAAACATAAGATGACATTATCTCAACAATAAAAAATAATACGCCACTTAGAGATGTACGAAAACTCTCTTATATAATGAGCTTCCTATTCATGATATTATGAGTTTAAAATATTTTCTGCAAAGTACTACTTGATACTAGGATGTCTTCTAATAATACAATATCAAATATACATGTAGGTTGAAATATTCATGTAAAAAGCTTTTTATATCATTTCTAAGGAGAAATGGAATTCTGTTTCAGAGATGCAACCGGTATGCCGGGTTCTGTCATATTAAACAGACCGGTAGACTGGGCAGCATATTATTCGCTGATCTGTTTAATTTGACAGAATACAAGAAAGACGATATGTCAGTTCCATCGGTGTTCTGTTGAATTCAGAGATAGTAGGTGATTCAAACACAGAAGTTCTCTTTCTCGTAGAGAAGAGTCCAGTAAAAACGAATTGTCTGCTTGCTTACTTTTGGGTCCACTCTTCACTGATTGGTCGCAGAACTACGTGAGAGAAAAATGGCGGACGAAGGTGCAAGGAGAAAAGGACTAATTTTCTGAAAAACTTGACCCAAAGTAATCGAAGATGGGGATCCAAATTCAAGGTTTGTTTTTAATCATTTAATTATTTATTAATTAATTAATATTTTCCATCAAATTTGATCGAACGAAATCAAGGATAGAGAATCCAAAATCGAGGTCGCTTTCATTGTTATTAACTAATTGTTAATTTTTTATTCTATTAATTATTTTTTTTTCAAGAACTTGACAGAAAAATACAGCAAGAATGTACTCATTTCACTTTTTGAAATTGTGTAAATAATTTGCTGATAGTCCAGATACAGCACATTTACGAGAAAGAGCTAAGTGAGTTCGCAAACGAGCATTACTTGTAACATCGGAGTTATTATATTTGAAAGGGACTTTAATGAATTTTAGTTGTATACGGAAATGTTGACTTTTCTTTCAATCTTACCGTTTTGTTAGACAATTGTATGATATCTTATAAGAAGTTCCCTGATGTAGCTGTTAGATTCGTAATATGCTGTTGCATATAAGAAGTTTATTCCAAGAATAAGAGCACCCCCACACCTTCTTGCCACAGAAATATAGAGAAGTTATATATATATACATCTGAGATAATGAAATATACCAGGGATAGATATGATGCAGTTGGAATATGTCTCAGTGAAGAGATGAAAGAAAGAAAGAAAGGAAAAAGCCAGGAGAAAACAATATGAAAAATTACTTTTACAGAAAGAAGGAGAAAGAAAGAAATAGATATAATGGACAACCTATATACAGTGTTGTGAAAAATTATAGAATCACCTGTTTGAGTCCAGTTATTTGCTCGTTCTCTGCCAGTTAAGACTTGCAAAGGAAACAAAGTATATGTAAGTATATATGTTGAAGTGTGCTCTATCCAACAATGAAATTAGATTCCTCAATACTACTACTTAACTTTGAGAAAGCAAGCATTTTTTGATATCGGTCCATTTTTGCCTGTGAAAAATTATAGAATCAATATCATAATTTCGTCCTTTTTACATTACGACAACTTCACTTTTGATTGGAAGTGATATATATACAGATAGAGAATTTCCTACTGAACATTTCAATAAAAAAAGGTCTGAAGAACAGTTTATATTTGAAATTAAAATTAGATTTTATTGCACAAGCCAAAATGGCTTGAAAACTGTATCTTGGCTTAGTAATTTAGCTAGGATATGCGAAATATAAGTAGTAATGATTTTTTGACACTGAATTCGAATAGAAGACACTTTTTGCAACAAAATGAGAGGTTCAGAAATATGGCACCTCCTTTCATTGCAAAAAGGCATACGTTGTCAAAACACATGCCACGAGTACGAACAGAAAATGGCTTAAAATCACTGCACATCATCATTCTCAATTTTTGACATCGTACGTCCGTCCGTAACAAAATGGTGTATCGAGTTCTCAAACTCTTCATTTTGTTGCAAAAAGTGTCTTCTATTCGAATTCAGTGTCAAAAAATCATTACTACTTATATTTCGCATATCCTAGCTAAATTACTAAGCCAAGATACAGTTTTCAAGCCATTTTGGCTTGTGCAATAAAATCTAATTTTAATTTCAAATATAAACTGTTCTTCAGACCTTTTTTTACTGAAATGTTCAGTAGAAAATTCTCTATCTGTATATATCACTTTCAATCAAAACTGAAGTTCTCGTAATGTAAAAAGGACGAAATTATGATATTGATTCTATAATTTTTCACAGGCAAAAATAGACCGATATCAAAAAATGCTTGTTTTCTCAAAGTTAAGTAGTAGTATTGAGGAATCTAATTTCATTGTTGGATAGAACACACTTGAACATATATACTTACATGGACTTTGTTTCCTTTGCAAGTCTTAACTGGTAGAGAATGAGCAAATAACTGGACTCAAACAGGTGATTCTATAATTTTTCACAACACTATATATGTAAGGTACAAATAATGCAAAAACCGAATAAAATTCTTTTCAACGATATTTTTACATGGTTCGAAAGAGCTTGTCGAGCTCGACAAAAAATGTCTGTTTTAAAAATTTTTTAAATCCTTTTTTAGCACAGAATTTCCAAAAAACTATTTAAAAAAATCGCATTTTTCATGTTTTTTTGTATAGATTTCAAAATGTTCGCATATGATATTCTCAGACAATTGTTGAGCTTAAGAAGGTATCTCCCTCAAAATACCGGTTGCACCATGCCTCGCTAGGATCATCCTTTATTCTACAATTTTATGTTATTTTATTCGTCATATGATGGGGGGGGGGGGAAAAGTTACGCATCCGTTTAAAAAAACACTTGACTATTAGTGAAAAAATCCATTTTTTTCGGTAGAGTAGGCCAATATAAGAACAATGGAACAATATTTCGAGATTTTATTTATCAAAAGTTTATCTTTGTCGAAAATATAGTCAGAGTAAAAGAAGACTTATTTTTGTCCACTAATAGAAACAATGATAGATCACCTGATTGCCAAAGTCTAGCAGATGAGCTACCGTGGTTATAAGCGAAACAACGTTCTCTGGAATTCGATTGATTGTTTCTCTCAGCACATCTACTTTTACTTCGATTTTTAAAGCTAAATTGTTAAGATATGCTAATTTAACTTTAACAGGGTGTGGGTGTGTGGGTGTGGGTGTGGGTGGGTGTGGGTGTGGGTGTGAGTGGGTGTGGGTGTGGATGAAGAAGATACGAGCACATACATCCACAACACACCCATATGCATCCACATCGACACCCACACCCAACCACCCACACTCACACCCACACCCACACTCACACCCACCCATCCACACCCACTCACACCCACACCCCCATGTCGACGCGAACGCATTGGAACGCATGACGAACATAGAGGTGACGTCGCGCGTACCAATGCGTTCGAATCGACATGGATCGGGTAGTAGTTGGAACCTATGTGAAAGGAAGTAAAACTTTTGTGAGTATTCTTAGGAGTTCAAAAGTTATATTTTTGGAATACCGTTAGATCCTACAAGGCTACTCATATCGATTCGAACGCATTGGTACGCGTGACGTCACCTCTATGTTCGTCACGCGTTCCAATGCGTTCGCGTCGACATGGACATGGGCCCACCCACACCCACACCCGCAATATTTCAATCAGCTACTTATTAGTGAGAAAGATATATTTAGCTGTCTATTGATAAAACTCGACACATTTCATATTTTTGATAGTTGCGCCAATCAGAGTCCAGGCCGATTTGGGGTTGGATGTTAATCTATATATTCTTGACAAGATCAAATTGAAACATAAAAGAAAGATTATATAGATGAAATTACTTTGGCAGTATTTTGTACAAGATATACTTTTTATAAATAGATATACTCTGTCTCTTGAATACTGTAGTTAATTAGATTTTTTTTCTCAAAACAAAGAGTATCAAATAATAAATTATTAATAAAAACTAAATAGAATGCCATGAAAAAAAGATTTACTGGATGAGCTTTCAGTTTTCATCTATAATTCTATTTATATTTACATTTATTAGTCAATGTCGAATGAATCTTTATTCTTGTAAATAAATTGTTCATCGTTTCGACCGTGTTTTTTAATAAGAAGATTCATGGTAATTATTCAACCTTCTGTGTATATTGGCTTAGGTAATATGGCTATTGCATATTTACATCGCTTTTATCGGATAATATCTTATCAATAATAACATCTTTAATTTTCTTATTCGATTCTATGTTGCTAAATAATTTTAATCTAATATTTTGACTTTTTAAACAGCTAAACAAGAGAAAACATCATTGCACGTAATCCAACAAGTTTAACTAAATCTTGAAAGAAAATGATTAGTAAAGAAACTATAATATAATTGTTTTATAATACTCAAAGTTGATTACGTAAACATGATACGTTCTGTGTCAAAACACAAAGCAAAGAAACGTTGTTGGACATTTTTTATTGATATTAGATTAAAACTTTTAAATAATGGTATTAATATAACTGAAATAATATCTGCACATAAAGTTTCAACACGATGTAGCATAAGAATGATGTATACCCTATATATCATTGAGCTTTCATTTTTTCTATAAAAGTAACTAGAAGACATTTTCATCTAGCTCATTAATAAAACTCTTAATATGAGAAAAGCAAACAGAATACGAATTATGTTATTTAACAAAACTATACTTACATATTATTATCATTGTTTTAGGATAAGATAAAAAAAACCATAATGTCAACAAGTTTATTACCGGTTATTCAAAGTGAACTTAATCGTTATGGATTATCTATTATATTAATTTTGGGTATTATAGGAAATAGTTTCATTATAATACTTTTTACAAAATGTCGTCAAAACTCTTGTTCAATGTATTTCTTCTGGGCATCTATTATAAACACTCTTTATCTTATATTCGCTATTTTACCAACACTTTATAGTATTACTTATGGTGATTTAAATTCTCGCTCTTTTATTTATTGTAAATTACGTTTTTATTTAGCAAATACATTAAGTCAATCAGCGAGATATGTTATTATTTTAGCATGTGTTGATCGTTTTATTTTAACAACAACGAATATTCGTTTTCAAATTCTTATTCAACCAACAAATGTACGATATTTAATTTTTATTATATTTCTTTTTTGGCATATTTTTCAAATTCATACACTATTCTCAACAACAATTAATAATGGACGATGTAATCAATTTGATTTATATTATATTTTACATAATATTTAGTTAATAATATTTGTTGGTTTTATACCAATAATACTAATGAGTATTTTTAGTTATTTAACATATCGTAATGTAAAACTATTACAATTATGTATTCACCCAATTAGTAATCCCGTTGATGATAATCATAGAAGAAGTATTATAATTCGAAGTCGTGAAAAAGAATTATTTTATATAGTACTGGGTGAAGTAGGGTTTGTGTCGGTTATGAAAAGAGTCACATCCACACCCACTCACACTCACACTCACACCCACCCACACCCTGCTGGCATAGTCGTCCTTTCGATGATACTCCAAGCTGTAACACTTGATCAAGTTCAACTGACCAAACAACGTGAGTTTTGTGGTATATGTGATGATAAATATTACCGTTAAACAATGAAAAAAAATGTTTGCACAAAGTTAAGTTATCACGCCTTGCAGCCATATAAGTGACGAACTTCAGCGATATCCATAGGGCTAAGCACCTCAGCCTTACCAATCGTCACACCACTTTGACGAGGAACCATTGTGGGTTTGCCATTCTTGCTGAAAGCGTCCGTTCCATAGTGCATGATACTTTGATAATCGTAGGGTGAACCCTGATTAAGTGCTGACGAACCCCATGCATACTTGTCAAAGTTGTGTGCCTTTGAACATGGAAAACATATCATAATAGGCAATCATAGTCTGTTTCGTATTTTACGATATTACAATGAGTAAACGTCAATTAACACGGATCACAAAGAGATTATTTGGTTGGTATTATTAGCCAATAAATACTGTAAAATATTAAATTGCTTTTTTTCTCAAGGAGCCTATTGAATCTCTCTGAAACTGATAAAAAGGCACATTTATGATGGAGTATTTGTAACCTGGCATCTCTATTTTCGGCTCACATGCAAACAATTGTATAGTTAATAGAAAATACCAATCAAATTATTTCAAACTATTGTATCTATCAAGTAGGCTAGACATCGTACAGCACTGACTCACCATGCTAGATTCGACATTCTCGAGATTGATTTGTAGATAAGTGTCACGATCCGGTCGACATTGCTCGTGATGGAATCCTATTATTTGTTATTTTGTCAAAAAAGTATATCCATAAATACAAAGATAGGAACATACCGATAACGTGCAAGAGCTCATGCTGAATAATGGGCGAATAGAAACAACCCTTCTGCTGCAGCGTCATTGTTGACTGTGTAATTGAGCTTATAAAGTGGCCGACCTATAATACAAATATATAAGTGAAGCAATTTAGGTCATATGAAAAATTGCAGAATTTTGTAGTTTTCTGATAGATAACCCATCGAAAAGTATTGCATAGACCCTAATTAGAATGAAGAAAGACAGAATGGCAGACTCCTTTTATAAATTTTTCCTTTAGACTATCCTCCTTCTAATACATCATAATGGAAAAAAGAAAAAAATGAATTCACAGTTCGATATTTCCGTCATGAGAAAGATCAACGAGAGAATGTGCGGAGCTAATCACAAGCTACTACTTTCATACTGCGAGTACGCTGAATGAATCTTGCCATATCATGACACGTGATGATAATCGATCGACTCACATCACACGACCATATTGATGTCTTCGGACGTTCTAAAATCTTTCAACTATATAGAAGGAGAGATAAAATATATATCGAAAAGTTTGAGATTGTCTCCTTCTCACCGACGCACGAATATATAATAGGACTCAACATATTATTGTGGAACTCACTTATGGTTTCGAAGAAAATAGTGAGTGTAAGTTTTCAGTTCGAGGTTGACGGCTCCCCCCTCCCCTCACCCCATTACAGGCACATAGCAACGGGAAAGAGAACATTACAGACATACCCCCATTACAGGCATACTACCATTACAGACACTTCTCTATTACAGACCTTGGCAACTTCGTGAAAAAAGATTTCTGTTCGAAACTTACGTTAGAGATAAAAATATAGCATTTTCTAATAATCGATTATCTTGAGAAAAAAAATTCTTATATTTTGGAGATTTTAAATATTGGGTATTTTGTCATTAGTATAATGAAACCAAAGGAGATATGTGAGTTCCACATTTCAGCCCCAAACGGGCTGCGCTAACAAGCTTTTTTTCTTGAATATTTGTCAATACGGTGTACTGTGCAGGCTTAAATCAGTTGCGTCTATTTCGCTCGTATAAACAAAGTTTTCTGAATCGATGTCGAGGCAGACATGATGAAGAGTCCAAACAAGTACTCACATGGGCATTACATCCATTGCCGTATTGAATCTTGAAGTAATTTTTGTCAGTCGCTCGGCGAGGGTGAAAGAAAATGCAGGCTGTGCGCTGTATGGAGCCATTCCTTGGCGTGCCCACAGCGTACATGAGCGTGTTCATGGCATCGGTGATCATCTTCTGGTCCGTCGTGTCTGTATGCGAGAAAAAATGACAATGTGTTGACGAATTTATAGCTTAGCAGAGTTAAATCAGATAGCTCACTGGTGATGGCCGAAATATCGTAGGGAATAACGCCATTAGGCCATTTGTAATCACCGTAGATGGCCACACCACGTTCAGGATTCATCGGATCGAAACCATCTGGGAAGAGCATGTCTCCTTGAAAGCCACCACCGAGCAACATTGGGTTGACGCCTTCATACATCGGTTCACTTTTATCGGCCTCGTATTCCGGAGGAGAGATAAGTACATCGACCTGCGTGTGCATGTTTTTCAATGATGATGATACTAAAGAAAGAACACAAGAAACTCACCGGTTTTCCATGGGCGATGAAAGCCAAGCACAAGCCGACAAGGACAGAAACGACGGCAGTCATTAGTTCTTGATTTCTTTTTCTACTTGATGGTGTGACAATTTCTGATTTTTTTTCGGTATTTTCTCACGATTTTATAGTACTTTGAGGTGTCTCACATTACATTGTCGTTGCCATCTAAGACACCACTCTCTCTTAATACCTATCACTCGATCAAATCTGGAGACGGTTTCAATTTCCATTGTTATTCCACGAAAATAATCATCACACCTGAAAATATAATTTGCACGGGCAGCCTCTACTCCATAGATTAGCATGTGATATTAGTCGGGCAGCTAAATTTCGCATCGAATTGAGAAAAACACGATTGGTAGATGAAAAGGCTAAAGACCGTAAAATGTCTTATATTCATATATAGGTGAAGCCGTCGTCGGTGTTGCTATCGGATTGAGGGTGTGGATGCGGGGTGCGGGGTGCGGGTGTGAGTAAAGGTGGGTGTGGATGTGAGTGGCTGTGGGTGTTTGGGTGTGTGTGGCTTTGGGTCTGGGTGTGTGGGTGTGGGTGGGTGTGTCTGGGTTTTGGTGTGGGTGTCGATGTGGGTGTGGTTGAATGTGGGGTGTTGGTGTGGATGGGTGTGGGCCTGAGTTTGACTGTAGGTGTGGGTGTGGGTGTGGGGTGTGGGTGTGGGCGTGGGTGTGGGGTGTGGGTGTGGGCGTGGGTGTGGGTGTGGGTGTGGGTGTGGGGTGTGGGTGTG